TTTTTTTTTTTTTTGAATCAGCATTTATTAATTATAAAGTTGCATAATTAAAATTTGTAATAATATAAACGTATGTTCTTTTGTTCATGATATTAAATTGATTAAGAATTTCTCCGTACAAACGATATGCGAGTCAAATATTACTTTCATTAACATCTGTTATTACACACAACATTTAATCAACTGCGATTTATATAACTTATTTATGTTACATCAGAGCAGCATTTAATTTGATTAGTTAACGTAGAAATTTGAAAGCTTTAACAATAGGATACTTTCCTCATTTTCATTCAATTAGGTCGTTATTCATAATTATTCAAATATGGACAAGGCGCGTCATTATGATCAACACATTCTATGACAGGGTCGTGAGTGCTATCCCACATTCCTGGACCGCATTGTCGACAGAGTCCTGCTAATGTGCACGGTAAACGTACAAGTTGACGAAAATGATGAAGTAGCCCTCTTGCCTTTCTTAATATAAGATTTCCATCCATATACATAGCTAAAGAACTAAAATGCAATAGCATTTCATCCGTTCTCAGGTCTTGAGCTATCACATCATCCGCATAAACACACATTATGGCAAGGCAAAGAAAGAGATGAAAATGGTCAGTTAAATAATTTACCCAACAAGCTTCCCACATTACTAACGCTACTTCGGTAGGAAATTCGCGTTTTAAACATCTGTAAAAAAAAAATATATATGTATATATATATTACTAGAAATAATTCTACATACAATTTTAAACTTTTAAAATGCTTATAAAACTTTGTATTTACAATAGTATCCATCTATGACAAAATAGAAGTTCCAAGGCATCTGTATGTTTTTGAAGATGTGCATAAAAATCTGGTACCATTATTCTAACTAATTCCCTTAAGTAACACAAATTTCTGTCCATATCTACATCAGTAGGCGTACACACGGCGACAGATCTTTGCATTAAGCCAGCAAAGCACCAGAATGCTTCGATTTCGGAATTAAGTTCAGCCAATAAAGGAGCCAATAAATCAGACATACCTTGAGTATATCCTAATCGAGAATTATAAACTGCATAGTTTAATAGAATATTTCTGGAAAAAGATAAAATGCGATATTATAATATTATATAATAATAAACTTAAAGATTAATTAATTATTATTATAGAAACATACTTCATTATTTCAATATTTGGATTATCTTCTCCAGCATAATAAGGGTTTCCTCTGTCGGTACGAACTACATCTTTTTCTACAATACACACCACATTCCTCCAAAAATGTTCTCCTTGTTCCGGACCCATACTCAGTCTACGTTTTTGTATTTCTTCATACTCCTGTCTACGAATGGCATCAATTTGTTCTCTATCTTCATAGGTACTTTGATACGAATAACAATGAAGAAGGAAAGGCCAAACAATTTTCCTTAATGCAGGTTCCAATCCACCAAAAAATATTCCTTTACGAAGAGCAAGATCATCCTCTACCTGACCTCTCTCATTTAATAAATCCTTCCAAGCTAGAGATGTAATCATTGGTACTTGTCCCTCTTCTGGATGCAGTTCATCGCGACTTACCTCTGGTCTACATACCATGAAATGCCTGAATCACAGAAAAGTTATAAGTCTTTAATAAAATACTAATTCTTCTTTTATTAATTAGATGCTACCTGTACGGAAGTGTCTCCTCAGCATCTGTATCTAAGCGAGGATAAAGCAATTGATGCCACTGATGTAAAGTTGCTGCCAATCGATCTAATCCACCATGGTGGAAATGCAGAATCTTATACTGGCTCTCTCGACTTGCAACAACAAGTTGACCAGAAGTACAAGCTGGATCAGCAAAAAACAATCTTAAGGATCTCATTTCACTGAGATCTACGGAAAATCTTCTACACCTGTGTGCTCTGCGCAATGTCACTGGTGAGGCTGTTGCACTTTCAGGAAATGTCAGATTATGCTGTAAAGCCAAAAGTTCAGGTGATCTCATCCATGATGGAATTTCTTCAGCTACGGAAAAAAAATCAATTTTACACGTTGATAATAAATTATATATTAAACATTATCAGGTGAAATTGTCAGAAAAGTTATTTCCTCTTCGATTTCGATCATTTTTGGATACGTTACAGGCATCGATGTTTTGAGGAACAACTTTTCTCTTTGCATGAAACCAACGACCTGGTTTTGAATTCTGTCCATATGTGTGCGTCTGTGCACTCATAAGCACATCAGTCGTCGCTCTCTTTATCTTTGCATCATACTTTACGTTATAAAACAGAAAATGACATCTTTTGTTATTGAATAAAATAATTTATTTCACGCAAACGTTGCATTAAAGCCCAAGAGACTATTCGTTGTTAATTGAGTTATAACACAGACATTTGTTACACTTTCGAATATGCAATTGAGCATTCAGTTTCAGCGAAGCTCGTTAAATTTTTACTTATATACATCGTAAGTCACAAATAAAAAAATATGAATTAGATTTGAGTTAGTTTATTATACTGATACTGACACATACACTACTATGGACGCATCAATTATAGGCAGAATTCATCGTAGTAACAGCGATAATTCTTCGCGAATATCTTGGTAATTAAAGCCGGCCGCCGTTTGTATGCAAAGAAAGAAAGTTGTTCAAAATGTTCGATGTATGCAAAATATCCGAAAATTAGGTTCGAAAATCGAAAAAGGAAGTAGCTTTCTTGCAATTTCACCGATCATCGAATCAATCAATCGAATACCTTCTGAGGATACACCGACAGACAAACTACACGTAGAGGTTAATGACATGCTACGGCTCTTCAGGCTGGCGTCATCGCAGTAAGGATATTTCAGTTCCTCGTCGACAGCAATCCCATCGTTTTCGTGCGATTCCGAGAGTTTTTGATCTTTGCTGTGTTGATTCTCGTTGTATTTCGAGCCCAGAGACTGGGAACGCAATTGATTCAAATTGATGCTGTGATCACTTCCCTCGTGTATCGTGGTCGATGAACTGTCCGACCGGTGATAGTTCGTTTGCCGATTGACATTGATACTCGGTGTTTCCTTGGTTTCTGACGTGGGCGCAGTTCGGTGATCGCACACGTTTTCACCGTCGTCGTTTTTCGTGTCGTCGTTCTCGAGGCGTCCACCTCGCGGCAAACCACCGCCAGAGCAAACACGTTCGCAGTCCCCGCAATTGACCGGCTCCTTCACCTCCAAACAGACGTCCACCTTCTCGCTGGTATTCTCGTATTCACATTTCAAATCGCAGCTCTCCTCCGATATTTGGGAATGGTGGGAGCTTATGTCGACGTCCCGGTGAGAAGCACAGTCGGCCTTTCTCGCGCTCAAATTCTCCAACGTGGTCGGATGTTTACGGAGCGTGCTGTTCGGTATCCAACTGAGGTGTAACGTTGGTACATTCGAGTTCTTATTGAACCTACAGGTTATGGCCATGTAACCGGGATGATGCACCACGTCGGAGTTCTGTCTCATCAAAGTCGGCGGGTGAACGCACACGTTGTTCTTGCAAAACAACGCTTCACCATCCTGGTACATAGTACGACGATTGTCCTGATTACAATCGCCTAAAATGTAACTGCTTGCCTTTTTCAGGATATTTGGCAGAGGCATCTTCGCTTAAGGCAGACTGGCGCATACAAATCATCTAGTTAATTTTGTTAGACACGTGTTGCGACAACTTCTCCGTGTTCACGCGATCAAGCTCTTGTCTAGGAGAGCGTCAAATCCCAAATGACAATCGTCGAAACGTGATCACAAGGATATAATGCGGTGTTGCAAAACAGATCGATTGCACGAGTACAATCTTGTCCTTTATACCAGGAAACACTATATTCACATGCAAGGTAAAAGTTCCGATTTCACTGTTCCTTCTCCTGGCAATTCTCAACGAACATCTACGGAGTGTGTTTCATGGTTTTTTAGAGAGCATCAAAACTGCTCGGACTGTCAAACTTCGTCGCGCAGAAGTGCGCGAATAGACCTGCATCGAGAATGCTATAATGAACTGATTCCTCTTCCTGAACGTAACGTTATCGTATATGTCGTTGCGTGCATGTTATCACGTCAATTAGCATTGATATACGCACAGAGCTGATAATACGTGTACACATATGGAGAAGCATGCATCTCAATTATTTAAATCTCTCTCGTCTTTACCTGTTATTTTTTTTTCTGTTCTCTTTTTTTTATTACTCTCGATTTACGTGGATCAACACGTCGTCAAAATCCTCTCCTCCGAAGACCAGAAATCGTCAGGACTCCATTGTGTGTTTGAAATTCTTACGAAAAACAAAATTAATCGACTTTCACTTGAATGGATTCATGAATGAAAGATGTATCATCGGCACTACTCGTTGTAGACGTAGATATAATCGAACTTTGAATGAAAACCCGTTAGTTATTTTTTGAAACGCGAAACGTTTGTTACAATGTCATTTGTGATGGATCACTATTGCACGACGTTCATTATTTACTTCGTTGCTCGATTCCTAACAAATAAACGTATTATGAGTCTAATGTCAACCTGCTTAGTACTATAGTAAAACGTGTTTGCCAACAGACAGAACACAGATGCCCCTTATCCAGGATCAATATTTCCATCTGATCGTGAACCTGGTGGTTGGCTTACTATCCAAGCCGCCGACATAACGTTGTCTAGCGTTGTACATATGGTTTTTATTGATTTTTCTTCTCAAGTTAAGTTTGAATTATTTGCTCTCGATTTCATAAAACGAGCTTGCCTTCTTATAATCTTGTTCGGAAGATACTTTTACGATTACAATTTTCCTTTTCAAACTTATTAAAGATTGTTTAAAGTATATACTTTATAATATGCGTCAAATACTCTCGTAATTTATTTTATTAAATTATCTGAAGGTATTTAGAAGTGAAATGGTACGTTTATATGTCAAAGATAATTTTTATTATCTTTTTGAAACATTTTTTTCTATAAATACCAATAAAAAAAAGAAACGTTTGCTTTATCAGACATAAAAGATGTATGACGTACAATTGTAAAGCACGATCATTTTAAAATAACACATAAATATTACAAATTATCAATAACAATGAATCGTGATAAATAAACAACATGTAAAATATATTATTGATGATTAGGAACATTTAAAAGTTCGAAATATTTATGTTTATTTAATGATGTATGTTTCTTCATTAATGAAGAATTAATACTATATCACAAATAACACGTGTTTATAAATTAATGTAATTCATAATTAAAAAGTATTTCGTGATTATTGTCTAGCGCTAATGCTGCTTTGGGTCCACGTTTTAAATATGAGATTGTAGAATATGCAGAGAAGTGAAAATCTTCTTGTAAATAACCATTTACAAGTAAATGTCCTATTATACTCTCTCCTGATTCTCTTGTAAATTTTGGGACTGGTATAGAAGATACTCTCAATGTTGATGCACCCTTACCATACCAGGCATCTATAAGCTTTAAGGCGGTTAATCTGGTTTCACTTTGTACCGCTTTGGTCATGATCTGATATAACTGTCTACAATAAGGAGCTATATTTACTTGTTTACTCTCTTTAGGTTTTCGACAATGATCACACATCTCTGCGCAATCACTTCTAGTCCAAATTTCCTCAAAGTGAGTCGCAATCAAGCTACGTCTACACGATGTTTGATCTAAACAATACGCTAGCATTTTATACAAATTTTGTAAGCCAACTTTATCTTGAAATACCATTGTACTTAATTTAAATATATCTAATAGCCTATATAATACTATAGACACAGATTTCTTCCCATCTCTGCCTGCGCGTCCACTTTCTTGATAAAAGTTTTCCATTGATTTTGAAATGCAGTGATGAATAACAAATCTTACGTCTGCTTTGTCTATGCCTAATCCAAAAGCAATAGTGGCGACTACAGCTTGGTATTTTCCTGACACCCACTTGGAATATACTTCTGATCTATAGTCTGCATCTAACATTGCATGATAACATCCAACTTTCAAGCCTAGTGCTCTTAAATCAGTTGTCAATTGTTCTGCATCTTTGATAGTAGTTGTATAAATTATTCCAGACTTATCTTTGAATCTATTTTTCAGTAAATTTTCTATCATAGCTAGGCATGTATCTTTATCAGTTGGTTTTCGCCGTACTTCATAATATAGATTTGGTCTGTTGAAAGTAGCTCTTAATACTAAACAACCTTGGATATCTAACATCTTTTGAACATCCACGATAATTTTGGCTGGTGCAGTAGCTGTTAAACCTAGGATTGGTACACCTGGGAACATAGACTTTAAGATTCCTAAAAATTTGTAATCAGGCCTGAAATCATGACCCCATTGACTGCAACAATGCACTTCGTCTATTGCAAAGTGGTCTAAACGTTTCATTTCAAAGGCTTTCTGCAATTTGTTCATAAAACGATTAGATTTTGCCATGTACTCTGGTGTAACATAAATTAATTTAAGATCAGATTTCTTATCAATCAATGCATTCATTATAATTTTTACGTTTTCTTTATCACATTTGGCACTTAACATTCTAGCTTTTACATTATGTTTTTGTAAACCATATAATTGATCTTCCATTAGTGATAGCAATGGTGACACTACTATTGTAATACCTTTGCTAATAACAGCAGGTAATTGATAACACAAACTTTTGCCTCCACCTGTAGGCATAATTAGAATAACATCTTCATTTGACATAACTGCATTCATAGTTGGCAATTGTAATTCTCTTAATTTATCTATTTTAAAAACATCCTTTAAAGCTTTTTTCAGATCTTTCGACCAACTGAAATCTTCCTTGTTCCAATTTTGTTTTGAAACAGAGAGACTCTTCTTCAGAAGCGCGTCATCTTTCAATTTTTCTTTACGTTGAGTTAAAATCTTTTTACGGTCCTCAAGCTTTTGCATTTCATTCTCAATCTGTTTTAATTCATAGTCAATAGCGGCAATTTCATCTTCTTCAATGTCTAAAAAGGAAATAATAATAACAAATAATTTTAGAAACATGAAATATAAACATGATAAAGAATAGATACATACAAATGGATTGGTGTAAATAAAAATAAACGTAATAATAATAATAAAATATTTCAAATTCATTTGTTTTTGAAAAATATTTCTAGAGAAAGAACAAACCTTTACTTTCATCATCTATAGTTATAACTTTTTCTGAGTTGCACGCAGACATTGTAAATACAAGAGATATCTACATACAATAATAGTAAAAAATATTTCTTTATATTTTCTTAATAAATAAATATAAATGTTGTTTACTTAAATCATGTTATAGTACAGAATGTACATATAGTCCATATAAACGTTGCATGCAATACCTAACCTAATCTAATCAACAACCGACGCTTTCTACAAGTTCATATTATCGTACCGATCAGCTGAGGTCAGTTGTTCTGGTAGTACTGCGTAGAAATCAGGCAAGTAACGTTGTACTTAGTGTTTGGTATTAATTAATTTATTGCATACACAATCTGATCCAGTCTTACTATTATGAATATAATAGAAAATATATTTAGTACAATGCATCGTGCTTGTTCCACTTGGCTCGAAAATACATTTATATCTCTGTACTTTAAGGGTATTTCTTTTTCTTATCTAAGTTTTTAGTAAATTTATGCATATCTTCATTTTATCACATTTATTGAGGTTTCGATAACGTTAGGATCTTGGAACCTTGAAATTTCTTTTCCGCTAAGAATTTCACGTTTATAAACATTACGCTCTGATACAAAATTAGATATTTTTAATGTGAAAATATTTTTCATGAAATATAATTGCAAAATAATAAGCTTTTCATATTTGTAAATATCCGAATATACAATATTAGAGTATTAAAATTGTTTATATATTGTTTCATTTATTTTACTCTAAGACTGTTTTACAAATATTTTGCAATATATTTATATAAATATCATTCTTTATTTGTTATTAGACATTGTTAAACATTGTTAAATATTAAATATTGTACATTTAAATATTGTATGGCAGTAAAATTTAATTTAGAATTCTGAATACAGATTTTGTTGTTTTGTTTAATCTAAGATTTATATCACTGATATTGTACATGTAATAAAGATAAGGAAGAAACTAATGGTGGCTTAAGTTTTATATGATAACAAAGATCATAAGTTTTAATATAGCACACATATGTTTTATTGTATAAGTTAAACTTATGGGTATAATTTTTTTATTCAGATGTCTGTTTAACATTAATATTAGTAAGTATTAGTTTTGTTTCTTCCTTTTAGCCAAAAGTATTTCAACGAATGGTTTTTATGTAAAACATTGTAATTCTGCAATAATAAAACAAGACAATATGAAGGTCCAAATATTACCTGCACTCCAAGATAATTACATGTACTTAGTAAGTATTTCTATGCTTTTTCCATCTTTAATTATTAAGTTTATTTTATGCTTTCTAAAAATATCTTAAATCTAATTAAATTAAATTTTGTAACTTTGCAAGATTATTGATGAAGCATCGCAGGAGGCTGCAATTGTGGATCCTGTGGATCCTGAGAGTGTTGCGTGTGCAATTCAACAAAATAATGTGTGCTTAACAAAAGTTCTAACCACTCATCACCATTGGGATCATGCTGGAGGAAATGCAAATTTGTGTAAGAAATTTAATAATCTTCAAGTGTATGGCGGAGATGATAGAATAGAGGCACTTACATGTAAAGTAAAGCACAATGATACTTTCAACATCGGAAGATTACAAGTTCAATGTTTAGCAACACCATGTCACACCAGTGGTCATATCTGTTATTATATCACAGGAGATCAAGATTCTCCAGCAGTTTTCACAGGTATAAATATAAGTTATGTATTTATTCATTTGTAAATTAATTGGAAGATAATAAATATTGATATACAGGTGATACACTTTTTGCTGGTGGTTGTGGCAGATTCTTTGAAGGTACTGCAGAACAAATGTATAAAGCACTTATAGAGATTTTGGGATCACTACCTAATGAAACTGTAAGTACATAATTATAACTACACTTTTATATAAAATGATCCCCAAAAGTGAAAAAAATATATTTTATAGAAAGTATACTGTGGTCATGAGTACACAGGAAATAATTTAAAATTTGGGAAACATGTGGAGCCAGAAAATGAAGCAATTCGTCAAAAGATAGAATGGGTTCGTATACAACGTGAAAAGAATAATCCTACTGTGCCGAGTACTATTCAGGAAGAGAAATTAACAAATCCATTTATGCGAGTTCACGAACAATCCGTTATGGATCACACTGAGCAAAAAGATCCAATTCAAACTATGGCATTCCTTAGAAGGGAGAAGGATAACTTTAAAGCATAAATTTATTACTGTTACAAAGAAATCAGTGATAGTTATATGCTACATATAATGTTCTTCCTAAACAATTTTTATTCATTTTATTTATAAAATTTTACTCCAATTTTCTATACATAAATATTGACATATGTGCAAATATACGATTATAAATTACGTATTTATAAATATCATTTATCTTAAAATACAAGTACTATGTTATATTTAAAGACATATGATTTGGCGTATCTTCCGATTTTTTATTATAAATTTGCATTTCGGCAACATATTTTTCTTTGGATCGTTCATACATGTCATAATATACCTGAAGAAATATATATCGTGAATATTTTAATTCATATATTAGAAAAACATACATGACTTGCTCGTTAATACAAACCTTTTTGTCTTCTGAACTAAGAGATTTCCAAGTAGTTGCAAGTTGTCTGGTGAGCTCTTGCTTGCTTGGTTCTGGTTCTCCAGCTAATCGTTCCATAACACGAGGTCTTTGCTCCTGACAGAATTGAAAAAATGGGTTTGCTGGCCTTTTCGGAGCATTAGGATCTGTTTTTGCACCTTTTCGTTTTGTCCCTTTTTTAGTTTTCTCTTCTTTAGAATTATGAGTGGTGGCTTTTGGACCTTTCTCTGGCTTAGGTGTTATTTGAAATACATTGTTTTCTTCAAGAACTCCCATAGGTGCTTCTCGCCAACGATCACCATGTTGATCCAAACGATCAATTAAAAATCTAAAATATAAAAATATATTTCAACAAAATATGCTACTGGTATAAAATGAGATATGAACCAGATGGATTACTTATTATTATTCGAGAAACAAACAACAAGTGAATTTGTAGTAGCATTCAATATATAACCTAGAAATTGAACTAACTTTTTTTCCTTTCTTGTACGTTTCAGAAGTTTTCTAACATGTTGGATACGATAAACTAATCTTTCATTTTCCTACAATTAAAAAAAATGGATAATTTTCATTTCCTACACATAACTAAATCGCTGTGCAATATACAGAATACTAAAATCAAACATAAACCTGTTGTAAAACTTCACACCTATCTAGTAACAATTGATATTTTCGTTTATAAATATCAAATTCTTCTGGTTCGACATCGTATTCTGATTCGTCTGACATTTTAATTGCACTTTTTAATTAAACAAAATTGATATTTTTTCGCATTGTTTTTATATTATGTCCACAGGTTAGCACATTTATTTACCATAATACAGCAGTAATATGATAGATGACGCTAGTATAAATATTTCTTATCTCTAAATTAATATCTAACCCTATCGTTTTATATTGATAATATAAATGAAAAATACATTAATCATATTATTAATTTCTAGAAGCTGTAATGTTCTTTATTAATTTAATAAATTCACTGAATTCCTTTGTTTATTTGATCAGTATTTTAGGTTAATCGAATTTAAAGTTGCAAAAATTAGAAACCTACATAAATAGATATAAACTTTACTATTATTTATAGTGATAAAAACATGGTCTTTAACATTAATAAAGTCTTAAAAAGTTGTTTCTAAAAATTTATAAAACATTTATATATTAATAACAAAAAGATACATAAATAATAGAATGGCTTATTATTGTATTATTAAATAATACAATTAGTAAACTTTATACTGTTTAAAAACTTATGTTTATAATCTTACAAGAGACAAGATACTATGAGAATTGGGATAAACAGTTAATTTACATGTAGGTACAGTCATAATGTTTTGTTATTTCAAATATTACCCTGTATGTTTATACATCAAAAACAATTATCAAACTCATTGATAATATTTAGTAAAAATTAAAGTTGTGCGTTTAAAAATATAATCCTATTATTTTAAATATTGGTATGAAACTTAGAAGTATTATCATTATTATGTAATCTATTCTTTGTATTTAAGATTGTTTCTTAGTTTGAACAAGAAGAAAATGCAAATCAAATTATTTGTATCGCTTGAATAAGTTTGGATGTAAAAAATTTAAAAAAAAAGAGAGAGAGAGAGAGAGAGAGAAAGAGAATAGAAATGCGTGTGGTTTATAATGGCATTTGTATTTCTTCCGATTTTTTCCTACTTTGGCACCCTAGATTGCGTCGTCCCTGCCTCTTAAAGCGACCAATGAAAGTCGCGAAAGAAGGGTTGCGTCGATACACATGCGCAACTAATCGCAATTCACCCTGGACTTGAGACACGGTCAAAACACATATCGCTCTCCCTGTCGCGTTATACTTTCTTTGAACGCTTCTCGAAATCTCGCGTTTTTGTATTCCAGTGTCAAGCTCTAGCGTGTGTCCTCCTTTCGTCCGCTAGTAGTCCGTGTCACTCGTTTCCACCTGTTTTCGATACCGATAGTTTCCCTTCAGGCGTGCTTGCTTATTTTCCGTGTGCTGTTACAACCTATCTTTTTTTTTTTCTTTCGGTCAATTCAGTTCGTTAAGTTGTTGTTTCCCGCGCGTACTATGGAGTGCGTCGCAGTTTTTTAGCATTCGCTCCAGCTTGCCAGGTCGACTTCCGGTAAGTACCATGAGCGCTAGGAATGTTCTTACTCGTGAACGAGCACCGGTTGGAAGACGTTTAATCACGATTTAGTCGCGTGTGTAGAAATGGGTAGAAGGGGTCTTAACGCAACACGCGCGTGCGAAAAGGCTTGTTCGCTGAGATCAATAGCGGCCATTGCGGTTATGGTAACACGATCAGCTGATCAGCTGATGCTTATTTTGTTTACAATTATTATCTCCCGTTGTACGTGATTAATCGTACCTGTTAAATACAATTGAATTCATATTCTTGTAATTCTAAGCAATATACTACCTATCGTAGACTTTGAATTCATAGAATTTGAAGTCATCCTCTGAGTAGATTATAATTGGAGTAAAATATCCTCGCGTTTAGTTCGATCTGTAGGAGAAGCTCAATTCCATTACTATATTTCCAAGAAAAAGTAATTTTGATTTAAGAAAGGAGAAAAGAGTTCTTGCAAGTCAGAGTTTGTTTCGAGTTTGTTTGACCTGTCATCTCGTAACAACACTGTAACATGTCGCGTAACGTGAAATTGAAATAGTTAATAAAATTTCGTTGCTCGAAATAGTCGCGTTACCACGACGGTTACTTCATGACATTTAACGGCTTCCTGATAAGTTTAGACGCGTTATATTTGTATCGCCGGTTCGGTATGATTGCAAGATGAGGAGATCGATGATGAGCACGAATTTCATTTCTCTGACTTTACGTCGACAACACGCAAATTGTATCAGTAAGAATATGCAGGCAAACGCAAGTGAATAATTTAATTGGAGACAATCACGATAACCCAATGAAAATTCACCGCGTATCAACGTACGTACGCAAAATTCGAATAGCAACGTTGTGTTCTGATAAGTTGATACATCGCAGTCTGCATTATCGATTTATGGATTACTCGAGTGTTCTCACTATTTTAAGACACCATCGATATAATGTACAACGACATAATGTAGGAACAGAAATTTTTGTCGATACTTCATCTTGAACACCAGGCCTGTAGACGAAAGGATCGTTTGACCCCTCGTTTTGTAACATCGAGTCGCGCTCGTTATGGCTTCGACATGGAAGGAAGAGCGAATTGTAATTCTATGAAATTTCAGTTCGAGTTTTAAGTTCAATTTCTTTAAATTGATAAGTGCAAATTATGCACGTTAATTTGTAGAAGATAAAGATTACTTTGAAAATAAAACTAAGAAATATTACTAAGAGTACTAAAAGTTACAATAAAAATTGAACAAGTTTGTAGGAAATCAACAATTTCTAACCGATATATTGATATTGGAAGCCATAAAGATTTAGGTTTTGCATTGTTTCTAGTTTTGGAATTTAGTTTAATTTAGTTTTAGTTTAGATTAATTATATATAGAGAGAATATAAAATACAAGATAAAATTAAATATCTTAAATTTTTGTGATACATGTATACCTAATACAAATTATTATAGTCATCTGTAATTTCACCATTTAAAGGTTAGGTATCGTTTGAATAGTTACAATATTGCATATATAGCCTTTTTGTAGAAAAATTTTGTAGAAAAATTCTTAAATACTTAGTACGTCATTACATAAAATCTTATATAATTATTCCGTATATGCATTTATTATTTAGCAATTAATCGGAACAAATATAAATTTACGTATCGTCGCGATTTAATCTTGTAT